TTCTTTATTATTGTTGACAGCATCGATGGCTGCGCCTCGCGATAACAGTAGATCCGTTATGTCCACCCGATTGCTGTTCAATTAAACGAGAAAATATCGATGTCACTTTGATGTCAGGTCAGATCCAGCAACGACTTGCAATTTACCATATTGCCGCGTAACACAAGGGCGTGTTTCCATCCACGTCGACTACATGCAAAGAAGCATCAGCGTCCAGAAGAAGGGTGCAAACCTCGCGCGAACAATTATACGAGGCCACATACAGAACAGTACGTCCTAGGTTGTTGACAGCATTGATGGATGCGCCTCGCGATAACAGCAGCTCTATTATCTGCTGATTATTGCTGTTCAATCAAACGAGTATATCGATGTTACTTTGATGTTACGGCAGATGATCTAGTAACGATTTTCAACTTACTTGAATGCCGCGTAATGCAAGAGTGTATTTCCGTACTTGTCGAGCATACGCAAAGAAGCACCAGCGTCCAGTAGAAGGGTGCAGAGTTCGAGCTGATTTTTTCTCGCGGCCACATGCAAAGCACTACACCTGTCGTTATTGGCGGCATCGACGGCTGCGCCCCGCGATAACAGTAGATCCGCTATCTCTGGCTGATTGCTGTTTAATCAAGCGATAGAATACCGACGTTAGTTTAAGCAGCATTACAGCAGATTCAGCAACAACTTCCAACTTACTTGAATGCCGCGCAATGCAAGGGCGTATTTCCATTCTTATTGATTGCATGTAAAGAAGCACCAGCGTCCAAAAGGAGGGTGCAGAGTTCGCCGTGACCATACGACGCGGCATTATGCAGAGCACTATTTCCGGCGTTGTTGACGGCATTGATGGCTGCGCCGCGAGATATCAATAGATCCGTTATCTTCGGTTTATTGCTATTTAATCAAATGAGTGAGTACCGATGTTAGTTTGATGTTATGGCATATCCAGCAACGACTAATTCCAATTTACCCGAGTATCGTATAATGCAAAGGCGTGTTTCCCTTTTCGTCGACCATATGTAAAGAAGCACCAGCGTCCAGAAGGAGAGTGCAGAGTTCGCGTTGACCTTTCTTCGCGGCCACATGCAGGCATGTCATTTTGGCGCTGCTGAAAATGTTCGCGTCCACATTGTCAGGGTGGTTTTTCAGGAATTCTTGTGCAGCGTCTCCCGCGCCTGTAACTATTGCATCCATCAACTGTTCCGCCACTTCAACTACATTGCGAGAACAAATTGAAAGACAGTCTTATTTTATACGCAGCAACATAGATCAAATTAATCTTCTTTTTTGCACAATAAGTAAAATATTTATCTCGTATTATGCAATGGCAAAAAATAAATTAAAATGTTCCAAGAACTAAGAAATTTATTAAGGATTTTCAAAGAGCAATTTATTCAATGTGCGAGTTTAAAATTAAGTGACTAAACATTTCAACTTTACAGAATCCTCTTCATTAGTCAAGAAAAATAATAAAATTACATGTAAGTTATTAGTTTACAAGTTAAGTAAAATTAAGTTGAAAGGATGGAGCGCTCTTAAACATAGATCATTAGAAAATAGCCATTCGTAGAGGCTAATATCGACTGTGCACACATATTAAATATTTATATAAAAGTTTGTATAAAAGATAATATACAATAAAAAATAAAAAATGATTTGTATTAAATGTTTAAATCTAATTGTATATGAAATATGTTAGTTTTAAAAACGTAGTAAATTTGAAAATAAATATAATTCGGTAGTACGGGATTGTCAAATAATCATAGAGTCAACGATGGAAATATATAAGTCATGTGAAATCGGTACATTGTCAAAATTTACAACAAACGGCTATAACAACATAACTTTGTTTTATTATTTTAATTGTTTGTTTTAAAATTTGGCACTGTACTGATTATACGTTATTTACATTTTTATTCGTTGACTTAGTAAACATTTGACAATCCCGTATTGACAATTTTGTTTAAATTTTAAATTGCTCATTGTTTGCCTTTTTTAATTTTTTCTTTTTGACAATATTAATTAATTTAATATTTAAATGCGCTATTTCTCATTTAAAAAATTTTAAAATTTCTAAATTTTTTTTTATTAACAAATTCATAAATATAATAAAAAGAAACGTACCCGAACGCACATCCCTACTCCCATACACATTATTATGCGCGGCAGCCATAGCGTTCGTGCTGGAAGATACCGGGACGATCATATATTATATGTAATAATACATCATGAGCCGACGTAGCCCGGCAATCAAAAGCCACGCTGCGTTCGGGAAATACGTTATAATTATTTTATTATTATGTCATTTTATTTTTATGTTTTTTTTCACTATTTTTTATCTTTGAGGATGGAATGATAACACTGATAATACATTCCCCGAACGCTGCCTAGCTATGGAGAGTTCGATCTTTTACATAAAAACTTATGTCTGCGGTTGACGAGTATTGCGACTTGTAGCGAGATAAGTTTTTGGAGCAAGTAAAAAAGAAGAAAATATTGGTAAAAGAAAAGCATAAGTGTGAAAAAATAGCAGAAGAGACGGGAGAGAGTGAGGAAATAGGATGAAAGAGAAAGTATATAAAAATAATATAGAAAGAAGAATATTCACGGTATAGATATGATTATATTGATAAGGTAGGAAGATGGATATACGTAAGGTTGTGAATACACAGGACAAAGATATCGAATTTTAATGCAATTGAACTTCGATAACTCGAACCTCTATAACTCGAAAACTTTCATAAAACAAAAATTTTTTTCATTTCCATCCGCTTCATTGCGGAAAACCTCTATAAATCGAAAATAAAACTTACTTTATTATCTGTCTCGAATTATTTGTCAAGTATTTAGATATTATTATTTTATTTCTAGAACTCGAATTTAAAGTATCCAAATCTCTATAAGTCGAACTTCTATTGCCTCTGCCTGCATAAATACGAAGTTGCAGCTATGTAAACATGAATAGCCTGGTATTTTGTTTTATGATTACATTTATTATATGTATGCAATAAATAGTTCACTTTCAAATATTGATTTTTTTATCCTTTAAAAGCCATTAAAATCAGAAAATTATAAACTCTTGTATAAAACCTCTACAAGTCAAATTGTCATATGTTAACCCTCTTTTAATCGAATTTCGATAAGTCGAAAACT